CCCGGCCCCGGTCCCCGCCCTCCCTCCGCATCACCGGTCCCGGGACCGACCCCCGAAGCACCGGCGGCAGAGCCGAGTCCGGCCCAGGCTGTTTATTCACCGCACCGCAACACCGAACCGCATCCAGCCCGGGTTCAGGCCCAGTCCCGCGGGCCAGGGGTCTCCCGGCTGAGCAGCCGCACCAGCTTGGCCCGGAGGTTGCTCTGGGGCTTGTGCCCGGAACGCCCCGGCAGCGCCTCCTGCCCCCCACGGCCCCAGCCCTGCTCAGGGGGTTGGGGGCTACCCCGTGGGAGCTGGGCTAGGGCAGCACGGTTGTCATAGAGCGGGCCTGCCTCGCTGCTGTGGCCCTCAGGGGCCTGGCGGCACCCTAGCTCCCACCGCCCTTCTTCCTCCTCCTCCTCCTCCTCTGCCCCAGCTGGACCCGGCTCTGCGGTGAAGATGTTCTCATAGAGATGCTCAGGGGGTGGCTTCCCCGTGGCCCAGGACTCAGTGGGGCCTGGCCGCCCCGGCATGAAGAGCGGCTGCTGGCCCCGAGCGATGGAGGCGTAGACGATGGGGCCTGTGGCCTCTGGCTCCGGTAGGGGGAAGCGGAGGAGGTTGGTGGGAGGGTGGGAGGCAGGCTGTGACCCCACCAGGGGTGGGCTGGGCTGGGGTTCCTCAGACCCAGGGCCCCAAGGTTGGGGCTCGAGGCCCTGTGCAGAGACCTGGGGGTCCAGGGCACAGAAGAGGCGGAGGTCGGGGATGTCCTTGCCCTGCTGCTGGCTGGCAATGGCGGCGGCCACGGCCCGGCAGAGCTCGGGGGCCCGTGGGGTGCTGAAGGTGAAGGTGCCTTCGCCGGAGTCGCTGCGACGGCCAGCTTCGAAGGAGAAGACAGCCTGTGGGGCCAGAGGGCAGGGTGAAGGGCTGGCACCTACCCTGAGCCAGCCGCCCCAAGGAACGAGGCGGGATGGGGGGGATAGGGGGGAGGCACGCACCTGATCCTGGCCAAACTTGCGGAGAAAGGGGTAGGGCCAGGTGAGCAGGGGCTGGCGGGACTGTGGGTCCTTCAGCGTCAGGCTCTGGGGAAGGGCTGAGAGCAGGTAGTGCCCATGCAGGCCACAGCGGGTGGCCGCGTCCGTCTGGACCACCAGCACCGGGAATTCGGTCACTATGGGAGCAGAGCAAGGCAGGGATCAGCACCGCAGCACTGAGCTGGAGCCCACCCCAGCCCTATCCGCCACCCCTGCACGTACGGTCCTGCCAGGAGGAATAGAGGCAGTTCTCCTCCATGGGAACAGTGGGGCTGGGCTGGGTCCTCGCACTGCTCTGCGCTGTTTCTTTTGCACCCTGAAACAGAGGGATATGAGCACAGCCCCTGGACCAGGGGAGCATGAGCCTCCCTGCCTGCCCACCCACCCTGGAGCCCGCCAGCTCACCCAAGAGAGGAGCAGCACAAGGGGTCCTGGCTATGCCAGACCCCACGGTACCTGGAAGGCCAGCTGGCAGAGCTGGGTGATCCACTCATCCCGCTGCTCAGCTGCCAGCACATAGCTCTTCTCTGTGGTGTTGAGGTAGAAGGCGGCAGTGGCTTTGGGGCAGCTCTCGGTGCCCGCCGGGCCCACGGAGACGCAGTCCGAAAGGCGGATCACCCGGCGGGTGCACCGCCGCAGGGAGGTCTTCTCCAGCGCCGTGCCGTCATCCCGCACATCAAACTTCTCCATGCGGGCCACACCAGAGGGGCTGGCAGCGAAGAGCTGGGCTCGCATCTTCCTCCAGGACCTCTGGGGCACGGGAAGGGCACAGGCAGGAAAAAGACGGTCAGCAAAGGGCTGCCTGCTGCGGCCTTGCAGCACTGCCCTCCATAAAGGGCCGGCAGTGCTCAGGAAGAGCCATGCAGGGCAGGAGGGGGTACGGGAGGGGATCCCTGCCTACACCCACTGGGTGCTGCAAGCAGGCACAGAGAGCTGGGGTCAGCGCAAACCCCCGGGGCTGTGGAGCAGCACAGTCCCAAAACTGGGTCGAGGGGGGGGGCCTTGCCCCAAGCAAGCTTGGCATGGCTTGCTGGGTGAGTCACGCTCGCTCCCAGCTCGCTGAGCACCAGGTCCTGCTCTTTGTTCCCTGCTGCAAGTGCCGGCCTGCCGCCGCTGCAGCTGAGCTCTCGAGCTGTTCTCAGGACAGACCCTGATGCAAATTAAAGCCATTTTGAGCTGCTGGGGCTCCTGCCGGCAGCCTCACATCTGCCGAGCACAGCCAGGCCCTGCAGCTCGCAGCCCGCTTCCTCCCAGGGGAGGCTCTGTGGCACCAGCACCTTCCCAGCCCATCATGGGATAGAGGGGGTGCATGCCCCCACACACCTCAAAAGCACAACAGAGCCTCCGCCCTACAGAAACCAGATGCAGCCGAGCACCCAAAATACCCACCACCGCCAGCCTGCCTGCCTCCTACGCACAGGGCATCAGCCCCGTACACGCAGGGCCTGCCCGCTTCGGCTCCAGGACTTGGCTCTTGCTCAGTGGGGAGGTTGGAGTGTGATCATAGCCCCACACATCCACTGAGCCCCCCGTGGGGGCATGGCCGCTCTGCCATGGCAGATGGGGGTGCTGCTAAGGCAAGGCCAGCGCCCCAGTGGCACCTGCTTCACCAACACCCATCTCACAGCTCCTTAGAGCTGGCTCGACCCTGTGGGGACCCCCACCATGTCACCCATACTGTGCCCAGAGGGCTGTGGCACTCGGTGCCCACCCTGAGGGCCCAGAGCAGCAGGCCAAGCCATGAGGGGTGCCCCACAGATGGCACTGGCCCCACCACAGCCAGGCTGATGGAGGGCTGGGCACACAGCCACATCCCACGTGCTGCCCCAGTGCCCCGCTCCCACACACACGCTGGAGCTGTGCCTCATTAACACACGTTTATTGTTTCACTGCGAATCGCGCGGTGACCAAGCGAGAAGAGGGACCCTGTGTGCAGGGCCGAGCCTGAGTAGGTGCCTGCACGGATGAGTCCCCTCAGCCACAGGGAGAGCCCCGCTCCTGGGGCTGCGGAGCCCAGGGCCCCCCCGGGGCAGCTCCAAGGGGTCTGGCTCCAGTCCCCGCTTCTCAGGCTGCCAAGGGCCTAGCCCCAGACCTGGCATCAAGACACATCAGGGCAAACTCTGTACCCAGCCCCAAATCCACCCTTTACCTTTCCAAATTTGCAGTGCTGCACATAGAGGATCCCATCCTTCACCGGTCTCTCCATGGGCCAGCGCAAGGACTGGGGACTCGGGCTACCAGCAGCGGTGAAAATGTGACTGCTGCAGCTGAAGCAACTGCATGGGGCAGACTTCCTTCTCTCAGCAACTTCCCCTTTTTGGTGTGTGGGATGAGGGGCAGAGGCTGGGCCACAGGAGGTGTCCATCCATCTGCCCTCCCCCTCGCAGAAAGGCAGTGGGGCAGAACACGCACAGGCAGAGCACAGGAAGCACCTAGGGGACTGCCTGACACAAATGCAGCGTGCCCCGCCTTGCCCTGGCTGCATCAGAGTGTGTTTGGGGGATACGGCAACAGCCACCAGCTGAGGATGCACAAAACCAGGTAAGGGGGACAGTCCTGGAGGAATCAAGGGGCTTTGGAGAGGAGCGACGTAAGACCCTGGCTGCACCACTGCGGCTGGCTGGCAGACGCAGCAGGCAGCCGGCCACAGACCAGTCACTCCACCTGGGGCTTCCTCCTCCCCTCAGGCACCGCTACCTGCTTGCCCAATGCGCCGCTGACATAACAGGTTGTTGCAGCATGGCTCCACACATTTCCTCCCAGTTTCCTCCCGGGGCAGGAGCTTCATCAGGCTGAGCTGGCAATAGCTCCGGTGGCCAAAGGCCTGGAAAAGGGGCCACAGCAGTGCAGGACAGGCCCCTCGGCTTAGGAAAGGCGAGGGCAGCTGGGGCGCTGCCCTGGCTGAAAGGGAACCAAGGTCCGCGCAGGGGGAGCGCCGGGCAGCACGCTCCCCAGGCTAGAAATCCATAGAGCTGTGGGCCAGGTAGTCCTTGCGGCCGATGTTGCTGACTTGCTTGGTCTGCATTGCCTCCAGCTTGGGGCAGTCAGTGATGCGATGGCCCAGGCCGCCGCAGAAGGCGCAGCCCCGCTCGCCTGCAATGGGAGGGATGAGGTCAGGGGAAGTTGTGCCACGCTTGCCCACATGGCCAGGCAACAACAGCCCTGAGGCAGCCCTGGCAGGCCGGAGCAACGGGACCTGTCTGCAGCGCAGGTCTCCCAGCAGCCCTGCGGGAGGTCCCTGGGCCGGCCAGGGGTCTCTCACCTCCAATGTCCAGCATGGTCTCATCCCCGCAGTGCAGCACCTGGAGCACAGGTGGCACCTTCTGCTTCGCCTCCAGGAGCAGGGCCTTCAGGTCCATCAGCACCGACTCATCTGGGGACAGAGACATGGATCAGACGCAGCCCAAGCAGCGGTGGGGGGCACTGCCCCATGCCACCATCTCCCCTCCTTGGGCCAACACGACTCGTCCCTGCTTGTGCGGGATCACCCCCCTTGCCAAGGCAGAGGCAACTCCATCGCCCAGCTGCCTCCTACAGCCGCAGCCCCGAGCCCCGCGCTGTTTCTTACCGCAGGCCTTGTTGATGAAGGTGGTGGCAATGCCAGTGTTGCCAGAACGGCCTGTACGCCCGATACGGTGAACTGTGGAGAAAGAGACAGGATCAGGCCTGGGTGAATAGAATGTGACAGACCACCCCTGACCCCAGCCACCGCAGAGACAAGCGCAAAGCCTTGCTGGCCTGCACACACCCCGCCGTGCCCTCGCTGGTCCCCCATGGGGCCCAGTCCCCACCATAGTTCTCAATCTCCTCCGGCATGTCGTAGTTGATGACGTGCTGGATGGCTGGGAAGTCCAGGCCCTTGGAAGCGACATCAGTGGCAACCAGGACATCCTTCTTCCCATCCCGGAAGGCCTCAATGGCTTTTGTCCGTTCTTCCTGATCTGCAAAGGCCCAGCAGAGAAGATCAGCAAGGGCAGAGCTCCCAGTCCTACCTCTTGCAGCAACTGCTATGGCCTCAGAGCCAAGCATCGCTCAACCGGGACTCCCTCAGTAGGGAGGACCTACACAGCCTTTCCCCAAATAAAGGAGCAGAGGGATCTCTAGGTCCCATAGGGACCTGCGCTGTACTTATGCCTGCTACATACAACGTGGCATTCGTTCCTGACACTGCCACAGCCCTTCCTCACACCATCACAAACTGCTGCATGCTGGGACCTCCCGTGGCCACGTACGACCCTGGCAGGAGCGGGGTCAGGTAGGGCCACACCGCAGCTCAGGCCTCCCCGAGACCCTCACTGACCTTTCCCTCCATGGATGGCCACAGCTTCCACACCCTTGAGCAGCAGGTACTCATGGATCGCATCGACATCCGCCTTTTTCTCTGCAAAGATCAGCACCTGCGGCAGCACAGACATGATGGAAGAGCTGCCTTTCTGCAGGCTGGCACTGCTGGCACCAGCACAATCCCCAAGAAACCCATTCCCTCTTGCTGAGCAGAGCACACAACAGCTCTCGGCCCAGGACCTGCTCATATGTGGAGCACAACTCACTCGCACGCCTAACCCCCGCCCATGGCAGAACTCTGCAGCATCAGAGCCCCGTCCCCATTGCCAGCTCCACCCATGCCCCGGGGCTGCAGTGTGCCGGCACTGCTCCCAGCCATGCTGCCAGAGCGCACTACTCACGGGTGGTGGGGTCTTCTGCAGGCACTCAAGGAGGTACACCATCTTGGCCTCCTCTTTCACGTACTCCACTTCCTAGGAACAAGCACAGATATAAGTCTGGCAGGCAGCAGAGAAATTGCCATTGCCTGGCACCCCTTAACCTCTTGGGAAGGAGGGCCACGAACCTCAGCTCCCTGACAAGGAATGCACCAAGTGCCCTCATGAACAGTACTGGCCTCCCACACAGGCATGGGGGAGCTCCCAACTACCTCACCTGCACAACATCCAGGCTGGCAGCACCCGCTCGCCCAACGTTAATGGTGATGGGCTTCACCAGGGCACTCTTGGCAAAGTTCTGGATCTTCTTGGGCATTGTGGCACTGAAGAGAAGGGTTTGCCGCTGGCCCTGCGCAGGGAACACAGCATGGGCAAGGATTAAGCACTCACCCAGCCAGGTGGGTGCAGGGATTGAGCTTCAGGGTGCTCATATCATACCAGCTCAGTACCTTGAAGTAGGAGAAGATGGTACGGATGTCCCCCTCAAAGCCCATATCGATCATCCTGTCAGCCTCATCCAAGGCCAAGTAACGGCAGATGTCCAGGCTCACCATCTTCTTCTGCAGCAGGTCCATCAGGCGGCCAGGGGTTGCCACCATCATGTGTACACCACTGTGGGATGAGCGAAGGCCACAGTCAGGCACTCGGATTCCTGCCCCACACAGTGACACATAGGGAAGGTAACACCTGCTTGGCACATCACCTTTGCACCCACACCTTCCTGAAGCCACCTAGCCAGGGTGCCACCCCTTAGTCCCCTGCCAGAAACCAGAGCACAGCTCCAGCCTCACAAACCATCCCCCAGAAGGTCTTACTGTTTGATTGTCTCCATCTGCTCCTTGACAGACATGCCCCCGATGCAGAGGGCACAGCGCAGCGGGGGCAGGCCATCCTCCTGCAGCAGGCGACAGTAGTACTCAATGATGCCGTGGGTCTGCCGGGCCAGCTCCCGCTGCAGAGAAAAACATACATTCCTACACATCCATGCAGGGAGGATCTGGGATAGCCACTGAACGTCAATAAAAGTTTCCTCCCACACGTCACCACACCCCCAACACTCACCGAGGGACAGATGATGAGTCCATAGGGTCCCTCTCGCTTGGAAAACGGCAGCCTCTTCTCCTGCTCCAGGCAGAACATGATCACTGGGAGGGTGAACACCAAGGTCTTCCCAGAGCCAGTGAATGCAATGCCAATCATGTCCCTTCCTGAGAGGCTGGCAGAGAAATGAGGCTGATGGTAAGGAGGAGCATCACGGAACAGCTCAAACCTCCAGGGCTGAGCAAGGTGACAGGGGGCATCTGTCACCAGGGAAGAGCACCCGGTTCACACCACTGGGTGGGCTGTAGGGAGCAACCACCCCCATCCACTCTGGGACGGGGACAGAGCACTCACATCGTGGGGATGCCTTGGATCTGTATGGGTGTTGGCTGCTGGATTCCTTTTTTCTTCAGGCCCCTCAGGATAGCTGTCAGAGAACAAGGGACATATGTGTTCATGACCTGAAGTCGTCCCCTTCTTTCCCTCCTACTCAGGTCCCAGCAGCAGCTCTTCCACCAGTGACAAACACCTCTCGGGCCAGCAGTTAGGTGACACAGCCACTGTTGGGAATTTAAGCTATGACCCCACTAACATGAAGCATTAAAGATCTGACAGCTTCACTCACTGATGCAAATTTCCCAGGAAAATGCTGTCCCCCACCCTACCAGGCTCCTCTCCCAGCCCACCTGCTGGGAACTTCATCTCCTTGAAGCTCTTGATGGGGGGTGGGATGCCTTCCCCCTCCACCAGGATGTGGTACTTCTTGCGCACGCGATCGTGCCGTGCCTCTGACATGCCCAGGATGTAACGAGGTGCTCTCCAGCTGCGAAGGCAACAGAGAAAGGTTGTGGTGCAGAATGAGGCTGGGGCTCCAGAGCCACAGCCCCCACAGAGGCCCAGGGGAACCCCCTGTCGGGCTCTGATATCCCACCAGAGAAAACAGGTAACCCCTAGGGGCTTTGTGGTATGAGCAAGGGAGCAGATCCAAGCCAGTTCCATGCATTAAAACATTTCCCCAAAGCCTGAAGAAGTCCTAAGCTAACAGCTGAGAACAGTCTATGGACAGCGGATGGAACATGACAAACATCTTTTGGACACATCTCGATCACCTCTCTGACGTTGCCTTGAGCAGCACTGGCTCTGTAGGCTCCCCCAGTCCCTTCCTCTAGCTTAGTCACCTCCAAGATCCGAAGTTCTTCTCAAGTCTTCAAGTTTAGCATAAATGCACTCTAGCAAATTTTAACTATATAAAACAACATCTATGGTGACTCAAGTACCTTCAATCTTACACACAGCAGTAAGAAGCCAAGCAGCGGAACAAGAGCAATGCCAGTGGCCGCAGAGCAGTGCTCCTGTGAGACTGCACGGCTTCTAGTTCTCTTCAGGCGTGAGGAAGCAATGCTTTCAAAAAGACAACCTCTGTACTGTAAAACACACCTGGTTTTAATTGGATCATCGTAGGTGATGCCCTTTGCCATCTCCTTCACTGACATCAAAGCTGCAAAAACAAAGCTGACAAGGTCAGTGCAAACTCTCCATGTCCAGGCGGCACGTAACTTCAGCAGAGAACTACTTGGGTAAACAGTTTGGGAGACCAGGCCCGGAGACAGAGGAGGAAAAACAGCACCCCTGACAGCCCCTCTGGGTACAGGAACACCAAGTGCCACAGCGACGTCTCAGCTAAGCCAGGCAGTCGGATGCTGACTGAAGGAAACCATTGTGATCTGTCCGGTCCCGGGTGTGAACACCCAAGTGTTGCAAGGCTGCCCTGACAGCTCTGAGACACAGAGCTCCCACCACTCACCTCTGCCCTCTGCCACACTCTCCAGGATCTTCTCTTCCTCCTTCAGCTGCTTCTCCTTGGCTGACTCCTTCCGAGCTGTGGGGAAAGTCAGGAAAACAGTGAGGAGGTTTCAGTCCCTCCCAAAAGCCACCTGGCCCTACCGCCAGCCGCTCCCGTACCTTCCGCCTTCTCTTTGAGGTGCTGGTGCTGGTCCAGGAGGCTGATGTTGGACTGGGGCCCCAGGGGGATGTCATCCTCGTCGCCCCGCTGCTCGCTCCCGCTGTCCCGCTGCTCCTCCTCTGACACCACCTTCCGCCGCATCTGCAGCAACTTCTGCAGCTGGAAGGAAGCGGGTCGAGGCGGAGTAAGAGGCCCCGAGTCGGGAGGGACGCTTACAGCCCTCCCCCGGCAGCGCCGGGCCCCGTTACCCCCTTACCATCTGCTGCTTGCGCTGCTTGACGGGCACGTAGGGCACATAGTCGTCATCTTCCTCCCCGGAGAGGTCGGACGTCTCCGCCGCCTCCTCCCGCTGCCTCTGTGGGGAGACGCGAGGTGAGGCCGGTCCGGGACGGTACCGGCCCCGCCCGGCCCCACCAGGGCTGTCGGTACCGGCCAGAATGGGCCCGGCCCTACCTTCCTGTCAGTCCCGGCTTCCATGGCGCCGTCTCCCCGCAACAGCCGCGCCGCCCCGGATGTAAATCCCGCGCGCCGGAAATGACGGCTGGAGGGACGGGCGCCGTCACCCAGCAACCCAGCGGAGCGCGCCCCGCCCACGCGGCGGGAGCGGAGCCGGGGCCCGACGGGTCGCCCCGATGGCCAGACTTGCGCAGAACGCGCACGGCGCCAGCGCCCCGCCTCCTCGCCCCCCCCCGCCCCCGGGCGCGGCAGAAAACAGCAGACAGCGGGGTTTAAATAAAATAAAAAATTAAAAAGTTCTTTATTGGGTCCAGCACGGTCCTTCCCCGCGGCGCAGGGAGCCGGGCGCCCGCGGAGAGGGGGACGGGACGGCCGGGGTCACCCCGCAGCGGGGAGGGGGGTGGGGGGGAAGGGGGTCAGGAGGAAG